GTGTGCCAGGGGTGGGCAGAGCTGCAATGTATGCCAGCATGCTCTGAATTTAATTACTGCAGGAAAAATGAACCCTCTGGCTGCTCACCCACCACAGCAGCAAGACCATAAATGGCTGGTGCGTTATACCTGAAGTTCCATGTGTTGCAAACTGCTTGTGGGGTTTGTGGCAGCTCAGATGTTGCTCCAGGTCATGGCTGTGGGACCCAAGTTCCCCTCAAACTTCTCCAGACTGAAGGTATTGGAGTGAGCTCAGGGCAAGTGCCTCCCACGTGTATAAAAATTTGATGGGTTCAAAGTGGGGGTTGTGGAATTGTCTCCTTCATACCAGCGTAGCAGCTTGGGGAAGTCCTGCAGAACTGGGAGCACAGGAGACACTCCAGGATGAAAACATTCCTCATCTGTGTTGCTTGGTGTGAGGAGACAGCTTTGGCTCTGGAAGGGACTTGCTGACCTGATATTTCTGAAATGTCGTTGGAGGAGCTGTCCAGGACCTGGCAGCCCAGCCCAGGACATGCTGCTGTTCTCCTTACAGGGAGTTGCTGCTGCTGTTGACAGCAGTCCGAGTGGATTCTTCATTGTGGCTGTGGGGCAATGTCTGAAGGAAACACACAGGACAGGGCTGGGTGTGCTGCCAGCTCTGCCCCAGGCAGGAGGGGGGTCCTGGAGGGGTCTCACCTGAGCTGATGGATGCTGGTGATGGGGATGACAGTCTTAAGCTGCACCAAGGGAAATATAGGTTGGATATTAGGAACAAGTTTTTACAGCAAGAGTGATAAAGTTCTGGAATGGCTGCCCAGGGAGCTGGCAGAGTCACCATCCCTGGGTGTATTTAAAAAAAGCCTGGGTGTGGCACTGGGTGCCAGGGTTTAGTTGAAGTGTTGGGGCTGGGTTGGACTCTGTGATCTTGAAGGTCTCTTCCAACCTGGTCATTCTGTGAATTCTGTGAATTCTCTGACATCCCCTCTGCAGGCAGCCACTCCTGGTGCACGGATCACTGCACTGATGGGAGAACCTGGCCTGATCCCTGCCCTTGCTGGTGCAGAGCAAAGCACTGAGTGAAGCTGCTGTGACCTTTGGGAGCTCTGTGTGACAGTGCCTGTGGTGCTGTGTGGTCAGGAGTAGCTGAGGGATGTCCCTGCAGGGAGGGGCTCAGGGTGACATCCCTGATGGGGCTGCCAGCCATGAGCACTTGCAGCAGAATCTGCCTGAACCCTTTCAGTGCAAATGCTCATTAGAGTAATTATTCACTGGGATTCTTCTACTGCAGTGGCCTCAGGACAGGGCAGGTGTGTTCTCAGGGACACAAAGGAGAAGCAGCATCATTCCTCTTAACCTGGAACTGCAACAAGCCATAAAGTCACTTTTCTACAGTCTGTAGCAAATTTGGGAAATGAAGCTGGGTTTGCTGTGGCTTAGGGCCTTTTAGCCTCCCCGTCCTTTCTGACAGGAACATTTCTAGTTAGCCAAGAGGATGAACCAGGCAGTAAACTAGATTTACATTTATTTATTTTTCAAACAATGCTTTGGAATACTTTATTGAGCAGTAAAATGAATTGCATCTGCTCATCTCCCACTCCCACATAAAATACAGAGAGGTTTTCTCCAGGATCATATTCCTTTCAGAGGGGTTTTTTGTACCATTCTCTGCTCAGTGCCAGTCTGGGAAACATATGCAGCCGTTTGATAAATATATTGTGAAAATCATGGTAGAAGTGGCAATCTGCCTGCAGCAGAGGAATAGCTACACGGAAAAATGGTAAATAAGATATCTGTAAGTAAATTAATTTTGCTCATATAAGCTTGTTTGCAGCTTTGGTTCGTGTCTGCAGCGTTTTCCTCTGCTCTACAGCAGGTGTTCAGTGTTGTGGGGGATCAGCAGGGACAGCAAAGCTGTGCAGGAGCTGGGAGATGGTGGTGGTAGAATTTCTGTTTTGCTGGCATTTCCCATCACAGCAAGGTATGGTTGTGCCACAGCCTGAAAAACTGCAAATCCACCATTGATTTAGCCTTGTAGAAATTAATAGTTGCATTTTGTATCGAGTTTATGCATAGTGAGGCTGGGCTGCACATAACTGATTTGCTTATTCAGAAATCTTTGCTTTCCAATACAGTTTTGGAGGATTTATCAGTGAAAAGGAATCCTTCAAAACAGCAGAATTTGAAACAAAGCCCAGCTCTACAGATGAACAATTATTTTATTTAAAGTCTTGCTGGATTTTTTTAGCCTGCTTTTAGCAGCACTGTGTTATTTGTTTCAGCAGTGTATGGGTCTGTTTGTTTTGATGGGATGAACTGATTTATGGGATTTATCCTCAGTTTATCTAGTTCAGTTGTCAGATAGCTGAGGATTTATTTTGCAGCCTGTGCTGTAGGTTAGAACTGAGCAACTTTGCTTCAGCTTTTGAGGGAGACACCCTGGGTCTGGGTGCTGAGGAGCTGCTCAGGTGACTGACACAAGCATCACTGTTTGCTGGGCTGCTCTTCCCAGTGCTCCTGGCCTTTTTTCCTGCTGGCTGAGCAGCAGGAGACTCACAAATGTTCAGTCCAGGTGGGTGGTTTGTGGGCTTTCACACCCATCCACACAGCAACATGGGCAGATTCTTCCTTCCCCTTGCTCCCACAGAGGGGAAAACCTGGCGGCAGGAGGAGGGAAGAAGGTGTAGGAGCTGCAGGCTTCAGTTGCAGATTCATTTTCCTCTTGGTGCTGCCTGGGAGTGAGGTGAGCTGTGACTGTCCAGGGGCTAAAGCTGCATCAAGGAAAGGCCTTGGGTTTGTTTCTCTATGGGCAGAAGAAACAGCTTTCAGCACAGGGTGACCTGGAGCTTTCCTCCTCTCCTTTGGGCAAGCTGGGTTAAATGGTGGAAGCATTTTTGCTCCCTCCTTGCCTTCATTCAGCATGATTTCTGTGATGCTGCAGCCCAGCCTGGCAGGGGCTGATGACAGCAGGGATGGGGCTGGTGCAGAGCAGCCCTGGGAAGCCCTGATCCACAGGCAGGGCTGGGGACTGACTGTGCCTCCCTGGGGCTGAGGAGATGACCTTCTCCTGGAGCCAGGCATGCAGGCATGTCCCACGTGTGTCACTGGGAAATGTGCTGCTCCCAGGCTCTGCAGTGCAGGGAAAGCCTCTGCAGAGGAGCTGGGGTGACTGCAGCCTGGCAGTAGCCCTGGCCCGAAGCTCCTTGTTTAGCTCAGAAGCTCTCCAGACTTCATAAAAGCATTTTTCAGACAGCAAATCCTTGGTGGGCTTCCCACACATCGGTTTTGCAGGGTCACTGCTGCCTTGCAGCCTGGGCAGGGAGGTCTGGCAGAGGAGAGGCTCGTGCTGCTTGCCCTGGGTTTGTGGGACCATGTGTGTGCTGGACTGAACCCCAAACCCTTCCCTCACTGCCGAGAGCCTCCCCCAGTGCCTGCAGCCTGGCTCCAAAGGGGATTTGTGCTTTGGGATTGACGTGTTTAAATATAGTTTTAATAGAAGCTTTTAAAGCTGATCTCACCATTTCATTACTGTTTTGAATGAGTGACACTTCTGTCAATTAGTTTCAGGCAAGCCTGCAGAAAAGACAGGAGGGGGAAAGGAGGTGAACAGTGGGATGTGGAGAGGAATATTTTAGATTTGGATATTCCCCTTCTGTGACACCGAGTGCCCAGCTTGTCTCCCTATGATTGGCACATGACCTACGGTGAAGCCTCCAGTCAAGATCTTAATCAAGATCTTAATTTTCTCATTGATATAAAAGGTTGCTTGAGCTTGGCTGCCATGGGGGTCTCAGGAGGTCATCCCTGTGCAGAGAGTTCACTGTAGTGTGTTTAAGTGAGCATTGCTGGGCAGCTTTGAGCCCAGCTTGGCAAGGGCTGTGTGTGTTCCCAGGCTGATGCTGGATGGGGCTCTTTGGACTCGCTCACCCCCACCCTGTCCTCATGTAAATGAGGTGGAGATGCAAGTGTCACCTGGCTTGCATCTATGCACAACCTGCTTTGAATACAGAGAACCACAGCTTGCAATATTTCAGGGTTAAGCCTGCTCTGGAGTTCACTGGCTGCAGGCTAGGATGCTGTGAGTGAAGTCAAGTACTCCTCCACTGTCCCCAGAAGCTGGGCACAGGGATGAAATGATGCAGTGCTGCATCTTCAGAGGTGATTAAGTGTTGACAGCCATGTGCTGCAGAGGATCATTTCCTGCACTGCACTGTGCTGGGAAGACTGAAATCTGTTTTAAATTGAGACTGAAATTAGCATCCAGGAAACAGCGATTTTATGCAGCAGTTTTAGCTTTGTATTGCACTTTTGTGTTCTATAAGTCTTTTCCTGAGGAAAAGCTGATTCCCACCACGCTTTAATCATTAAGTATTGTTGATTTGCAAATCACTATAGCCTTTATATACAGTGGGCAGCAAGATTAACACGTGTTTGCACACAGACTGCAACTGTGTAGGGCCAGGGGTGACCCTGGAACTGGATTTGCTTTTAAATTCTGCTTTTGCTGACCATGTTGCAAATGGCAGTGTGGAAGTCAGCAGGCTTGGCTGTTCTGTGGCACTCTCTAAGGCCCTACAGGGCAGCAGAGATACTCCTGGAGAGCCCTAAATGGCTGTGGAGTTGTTGTTATGCCTGTTGGGTTTCAGTACATGCCAGAAGCTCTTGTATCCTCTAAATAAGAATTCAAGAGGTTGAGAGTTTGACCCTTGGCCCTAAGCTGTTGGGATGCTTCTCCCAGTATTGTAAGCTCTGGTTGGCTGTAGGTCTGGCTACAGAAGGAGAAGTTCTCTTTAGCTGTGTCACTTGTTACACATCAGATAAAATCTCATTTTTATCTCTTTCCTGTCTAGCTCAATGCCTGGGTTTGCCTTTTAATCTGAGTGTTTGTACCTTGTTTACAGCCTGACAGTGTTTTGCCTTCACTTTCTTGCATGCTGGAAGAAGCCAGAAATGACTGGTTATGTCTGTGTTGAGTGAACATTTTTATTCAGTTTACCTCTGTTTGTGATTCCTCTCAGGTATTTCATGGAGCCTTTGAGCACTAACGTCACTGCTCTCTGTGTGACCATTTGAGAGCAAAGGAGGTGGCCGCAGCCATGGGGGACTCTCCAGCAAATGTCATGGATGGAGGCATGGACACACAGACTGAACTGGTGGAGAGGGTGGCAGCCATAGATGTGTCTGTTATCCCAGACAGAAGTGACCAAAATGGGGAAGACAACCCTGAAGAAAATGACACAGTCTTTTCTGATAACATAAAGGACATCCAAAGAAATGGAGTCAGCAGTGACGTGGGAATCAATGAATTTCTGCCTTCCCAACAGTCAGAAGATGCTCACTTGAGGCATGCTCCCAAGAGACATCTAACCAGACCTGGTCTATCAAGTAGGAAGTTGTCCCTTCAGGAAAGATCATCAGGAGCTTATTTGGCTTCTAGCAGCACTCCAGGCTGTGGTCCTTATGCCACAGGGCCATCCCCACGCATAATCAGGAGACCAACGATAGAGTCCAATCGGGTCTCCATATCAGACTCTGAGGTAGGCATGTTCTCCCCTACAGCTGAGCTGTTGAGGTAAGGAAAGTCTGTCTCAGGTGCTAATGGGAGTCTTCAGTCTTCTGGAGTATAGATCTGAAAGCACTGTTGTTTCTGAGGGGGGGGAAAAATCCCTGGAACCAAGGATGGTGTTAGCTTGGAGTTGGAGAGCTCTGCTGGGTGTAGCCCTGGCTCTGACATTTGGCTCCTTTAGCCCTCAGCTGCCTGGGATAGTCTTGCGAAGGGACCATGACCCCTGTGTCATGGTGGCATGCAGGAAGTCTTTCAGGTTGTTCAGAGAAAGGGCTGTGGCCAAATGACTTTTCTCTTGTGTCCCTGCTGGAGGTGCCCTTTGGGAATTCACCACTCACAGCAGCTTTGCTGATGGTATTTGTGGATTTAAACTTCTGGAGATTATGTATCTGCTATTGTGTTCTGCCATAATTGAAGGCACAATTTAATTTTATAAAGAGCTTAAATGCCTGGCTCCTGTCAGGGTTTTCTTTTCTCTTTAAAGCATTTGTAACAGCAGTGGTAGGGGAAGGCTGTGACCTTGCTCTCCTTCAGAGGGGTGTCTGGGTGGCTGTGGTTGTTCTGCAGCTGCTCTCCTGATCCCAAACCTGCCCTGACATGCTGTCAGTGGTCAAGTGTCTGGATGGAAGTGGGTGATGGTTGCAATTCCCAGTGCTGGATGTGCTGCAGTGGGGAGGGCAGGGAGCAGAGGGTGTTCAGAGCACACTGCCCACTTGTCATGACCTAGATGCCTGCAGCAACACAAGGACCCAAACCACTGGAGCTGAGACTTCTGCCAGTGTGGGTCCAAGGAACCTGGAGCTAAACATGTGTGTGGCTTGGTGTTTCCCTTCTGAGAAGTGGGTGCTTTCCCTTTGCACATCTGAGAGGATGGTGGTGCACACCAAATCAGCCTTTGTCCTCTGGGGCATTGTGCAAGCCACATCAGCTGTGGGACGAGTGGTGCATCCCCTGCAGACAAGAGGACGTACAGAAGGTGCACTGCAGAGACTGCAGCTTCTTTGACAGCAGCCATATGCTTTAATAAGGGAGGCAGGGAGGGAAAGGAGCCAGTTCTTGGAAGCAGGACGTGACTTGCGTGCCAGCTCTCCCATCCTGCAGCGCTGCGGCTGTGCCAGGAGTGAGGCTTTTCTGAAATCTTTCAACATAACTGCAGTCAAGTGTGACTGGCACATTCCCATCTGCAAGCAAATTCAGAGTACTCCATCCTCTTCCACAGCATCTGCATCCTGGGGAGCAGGGGCTGCTGCCTGGGTGTGGGCAGTGCTTAGTTTGAAATGCAGATGTGGAGCCCCTGTGCCCCTGCTCCTGCAGCAGCTCTTGACACAGTGCTGCCTTTTCCATGGTCACTTGGATATCACTGAGAGAGCACTGCTGTGCTGCAGCCTGTTGGAAGCCATCATTCATATTAATGGGGAATGGCTGTGGGAAGGGAGCCTGGGTGAGCTGGGAACATTCTGGGGTGGGTGCTTGCCCTCACAGAGGTACCCTCAGGAGCTGTGCTGCTCCTTCCCACCTTATAGGGATAGCATCTGTACCCCATAAGGAACAGGACTGGGAAAATGCCTGCTTGGATACAGGGTAAACTGTGAGGCTGGGCACTGAATGGTGAGCAGTGTGTGACAGCCATGTGAGTGTGCAGCCTGCACACAGCCCAGCTCCAGTGCCCAGTGTCACCACTGCTGCCAGGTGGCTGTTGAGGGGTTGTTGTGTTGGTGACGTTGGTAGGCACTGCCAGTCCAGATCCCAGCTGTGCAGCTGAGAGACACAGCAGGGAGCTCTGACAGAACCATAGAGCACGTCTTCTGTGCTCTGTCAGGGATTCTAAAAGTCACCAGGGTCTTCATATTGAGGCTTTTAGTCCTATTGGGGATGAAATCAGCCCGTAATGGGAAATACAATCATGGTGCACTTGGCAGCACCCAGCTGCTGGGTGTCTGGTTGTCACTCTGTTATGCAGGCCCTCAGTGAGCAGCAAGGCTGGTGGGTCACTGACAAAAACCAGGTCACCAGGCCCAGCACTGCCCTGACCTGCCTGCACATGGCTCCTTGTTCTAGGCAAGCTGCACATTCATATTCCAGTCAGTGTCTCTCACCTGCTGAAAACCATTTGGGAGTTGGTTCTTTGCCCTTGCTTTGGGTGTCTGGCATCCTCAGTCAGTGCCTTTCAGGAGCAGAACACCCATTGCTCCAGCTCATGGCCACTGCCCAGGTCTGTTAGAGTCTGTGCAAAGCTGAAGTTCAGGAGCACTCAGGCTTTATCAGTACCCAGGTGCAGGCACTGTCTGTCAGGAGCAGGGATGGGTGGCACAGCTGCATGTCACAATTTCCTGTTGTGCTGATAGCCATCTCCCCTGAGTCTGCTTCCCTCTCCAGCAGGATGGCAGCTCAGTGCCTGCCTGTCAATGATGCTGTATCCTGGACTGATCTGGAGAAATAATGGAGAGATGTGCTATGCAGAGAGAGTGTGGGGATACAGCAGAGCTGAATGCTCTGCCTTCACTGATGAATTAGGGAAGAACGTTGTGTTCTCTTAGAGAGATACTGCTGAGCTTTTACATGCTGGTTTAATATTTGTTCACAGGCTGGGAGGAAAACTTCTGCTCAGGGATCAAGAGGTACAAGAGCTGAAGCTGAGGGAGGATTTATCAAGTGGCAGCAGCAGGCAGTGAATTGGGGCTGTCCTGTCACTGGGACCATTCCACAGACAGCTGCCTTCTGAGCACAGCTTTTGGATTTGCTGTTTAGGCAGGTGGTAGCTCCTGGGCTGGCAGGGCTGGGGCTTGTTGTCTTGCACAAAGACTATTCCCAGAGACACCAATTATCCAACTGCCCTTGGACAGAGTTGGCAGCTGCTGGTGTCCTGCAGCCACTGCTGACAAGTCTGGGTCTGCAGTTCTAGCTCTGTGAGGAAGTAACATGCTCTGCTCTCCCAACAGTGCTACTGTGTTCTTAATTAACCTGATCTGTCATTTCTCTATCAAAAATTGAGCTGCAGTTTTAAAAGCTCTCTGTTTACTCCCCTCCTTTCTTAGATTATGGCCTATGGCCTGGAAGGTTCTCTCAGAGCTGCCTTCCCTGGCAGGAGTGCCTGATGGGGTTTCTGCTGCCTTGCTGCCTATCAGTGCTTTGCTGTGACAAGGGAAAGGCTTTGCCTTTAGCTGTGGCACAGAAGTGATTGAGCTGAAGCTATTAAGGGTACATAAAGCAGAGCTGAGGCACAGGCCCCAGAGTTTAGGCCCACTTTGCCTCTGTTGATGTGACATTCCTGGCAAGCTGAAGCTATTAAGGGTGCATAAAGCAGAGCTGAGGCACAGGCACAGAGTTTAGGCCCACTTTGCCTCTGTTGATGTGACATTCCTGGCTCCTGCTCGGTGCTGGCAGCAAGGCAAGTCCAGAGACTGCTAAAAGCAGCTTCTGCTTTGCTGCCCAGATGATGCCCTGGTGTTTGTATGCACCAGGGAAAGACTCTCTGAAATCTTGTCCCTGTGTGCCTGACAGAGCTTGTCCCATCTATAACAGCAGGTTTTGGATCTGTGAAAGGGGAGAGATGCTGTGTGGTGGAATGAGGCATTTGAAAGTGCAGTGCTGGTGGGTTTGGTTTGTTGGGGTTTTTTTCCTGCTGTTTTAAAGCAACTTTTTAGTTAGCCAAGAAAATCTTACTTGATGAGTGGCTAGGAGAAGAATAAAATATGTCTTTTTCAGCCTTTCTCCCCAGACCTGCCAGCACATTTAATTGCTTTATACAGTCTCTTCTCCAGTCTCTTCCAGTTGAATTTCCTTTCCCTTTCACATGTTCCTTTCCTCTCCTTGAATCCCATATCCTCCTGCCCTGCTGTCTACATTCTCTCCACCCTCTGGGATCAGTAGGAGACTGTTCCAGGTGTCCCTGCAGCCATGGTAATCAGCTGCAGCTGTGTGTGCTCCAGCAGGAGAGGAGAGGATGAGTCAGGCCAGTGCCTTCTTCCTCCCTGGAGATGCTCCTGGCCTGCAGATGCAGGGAGGAGAACGAGCTGACAAAGGGAATTTTCCTATGCTGGATTGTGCATGGCTTTCTCCAGAGGCCTGGAAAATAAATCACTTCTTTGTCCTTTCTATCCTTATTTTTTCTCCTCTTTCTTGTAGCTCCCTGCTTGTTTGGCCAACTGGTTTGGAGCAGCTGGTGCCAAGAGCTGAGAGGCAGTGCCTTGGTGCTCGGCTGACCCAGGTCTCACACTCCTCCAGGGCCTGGCACCTGCCTGGTTTTCTTCACAAAGTGATTTCCTTGCTGTGCACAAAGGTGAACTCAGGTGGGGCCAGGGCAGAGGCAGGAGCTGAGCTCCTCCCCAGCATGGGCTGAGAGCTTCCCCTTGCAGCCCAAGTCCCCCAGAGGAATTTATTTCTTCTAGAGGCCTTACTGTGGTGTTCAAACCAGAGCTCTTGAAAAGATACTCAGAAAACATTTCTTCAAAGACTCCCTCACATGGCTAATTTCTTTTCCTTGGATTAATTAACCTTTATTTAAAGTTGCATTTCCAACTTGTCTGCGGTAAGGTTTGAGAGGAGGACAAAGCCCAGAGCTGCAGCTGGAGGGGGGCTGGGAGGGGCTGGGGTCTGCCTTGGTCCTACGAGTCCCAGGCTCCTGCACCAGCTCTGGGGCCTCAGGGGGTGAGCCCCAGGGCTGAGCTCTCTGCCAGCCATGGCCAGGGCAGTGCAGCAGGGCTGGGCTTTCTTTTTGCACTTCTGTTTGGCCGTTGCTTCAAAATCTGTTTATTTTCTGATCACCATGAGGTCTGGGCTTCCTGTCTATCCTTCTCTGTCCCTGAACAACTTTCTAATTTGAATTCATTGCTGCCCTTAATACCCAGTTTCTGGCTTTTATTTTCATTTTTGCCTGTTTTCAGAACTGCCTTCACTTCCCCTTCTAGGCAGGATGAGTTTAAACCAGTGTTTCATTTTTCTTCCATGCCTCTCTTTAAAGAGTATCTCTGAATTGCTGAAAATTCTTTCAGATTGGGGAATGTGGCTTTCTTTAGGGGACAAAATTCTCCATTATATATGTATTCTCCATTACATGTATGTAGGCTGTCTGTTCTCAGAAATGTCTGATTTTGGAAATCAGCTCTGATTCTCCCTTCCCATCCATGCACCTCTCCTGGGACAGCAAAGCTCAATTCTCAGGTTCTCAAGGTTTCTGTCACCCAGTGGTGCCCACAGTGGATTTCTGGAACTGGGCCTGGACTGTGCTTTATGATTTTGACCAATTTTTGTTTTCTGTGGCATTGATTTCCCTCCCTTCCTCTCTTGACTAATACCTTGGACTTGTTAACACAGAGGGCATCTTTTTTTTTTAAGGTGAAAATAATTGCACACTTGGACTGGCTCAGTCTAATTTGGTGACAGCTTTTCACGAAAGGATCTCATTAAAGTTCTGCTCTATTTGTATTTATCAGCAGTTGCAAATACATCAGCCTGATGAAATCAAGGGAATTGTACAATGTTATCTTAAAGAAACACTTGGCCAGAGATCGGTGTTTTTCTCTGATAAAGGAATAGGACAATTATCCCACTTCCTGCAGGAGAACCAAATAACAGAATAACCCTTCCAGAATGCAGCAACACGTGGCAGGAGTCACTTCAGCAGTGAATTATGGTCTTTTCAGCAAGAGGGAAAAAACATAGAAAGCACCTATAATCTGGTTTTTGCTGTGCTCAGCTCAAGTGCTGGAAGCACTGCAGAAGTCAAAGGGATGGTGCTTCCCACGAGGAATTGCCTGAGTGGAGAGCACTGGGGGTGGGGGTCAGGTGGTGACAGTAAGTGGGAGCTCTGAGGGGCTGTGCTGCACATCTGGTCATTGCCTTTCCCTTGGAATTTTCTGGGTGTTCCTTCCCAGTGTTTATCCACCCCTTTCAAAAAACTGTCCCCAAAAATGGGGGCTCTGGTGTCACAAGCTCCACCTAGCAGCAGTGAAGCACCAGGGGGGTGCTTCAGGTGATCAGTCTGGTGGGGATAAGAATGGTGATTTCTGGCCAGAGGTAGGAGGGTTGGTGGAAGGTCAGAGTCAAAGGGATTGGTGGCTTGGACACAGGGATAAGGCACAGTCCCTGCTCCTGCTTTGTGGGGAGGTTTACCTGGATGGATGGAGGGATGGAGGGATAGATGGATGGATGGATTATGGATGGATGGATGGATGGGTGGATGGATAAATGATGGATGGATGGATGGAAAATGGATGGATGGAGGGATGGATGATGGAGGGATGGATGTAGGGATGGATGATGGATGGATGGATGTACAGACTGCATCCCACACAGAGGGCTCTGCTCCTTCTGGAGGGAGGGAAAAGATGTGCCCCTATGGCTTCCTTGGCAGTCTGTGAGCAAGAAGAAGCAGCTGTTGGTGCTTTAGAGATGCCACCTTGGCTTGAAACAAGATGCTGAGTGCAGAGCCAAGAGCTGATGGCTGTGTGTGAAAGGCTGTATTGTATCTACTCCTGCAAGTGATCCCTGCTCAGGGAGGAGGCCTCCTAGCAAGACCTGGTTTGAGAGCAGGAGATGTGAGGTGACTGGAGGCTTTCTTGGAGGAATGGTCATTTTTCCTGCCTGTCCCAGCTACTCCAGTGGATGTTTCACCCTCTGCAGCACTGCAGTTTTCACAGGACCAGGCCAGGGGTACAAAGCTGAGCACAGAGAAACCAGGACAGGAGACACCATCAGAAAAGTGTTCCTGCTGAATTTGTGAAATCACCACAGCCTCACACTGGGAAGTGAATCTGCTGGCAAGTTTGCAGGGGAATTTGTCCTCCTCATGGCCATACTCTGGGTTCCTGCATGCTGCCCCCTCCGTTGGGAAGGGACATCCCTTCAGGCCCCTCATGCCTTGCATCTTGGCTTTTGCTGGGTCATGCTTTCTTCTCTCTTGGTGCTCCTAGTTCTGATGGATTGGTTTTTACCTTTGGAAAGATGTGTGCTTTGCTAGCAGCAGAGTTAATACACTCCTGTGGCCCCATTACTCACAGATGGCTGCTCTTCCTTGTCAGAGAGGTGGAAAAAACTTCTTTCCCTGGCAACAAGATCAAGATTTAAACCATTCCTTGTATTCCTGACAAGCCATGAGGAAAAAAAGTTATCAGTCCCCCATTTCTTTTGTTGTGATGATCTCTTGAGTCAGGAGCATTAGGAATGTTTTCTGGTTGGTGATGAAGAGTCAAAATTATCATCTCCCACTCCTGTGGTGGTCCTGAGAGGCAGAGGAGTGTTGCTGTTGGTGGGAATGCTGCTGGGGCAGGGACTCTCACACCCCTGTTCTTACAAATGGTCTGAAGGCATCTGGCACTGCTTTTATGTGGTGGTGCTACTTCTGTAGATGGCAGGGCTGTTTTGAGGTTTATGGGAAGGCTAATCTACCTGTCTGCATGTTTTATTTCAGCTTTGTTCCCAAAGAAGTGCAGAGGCTGGCTGTGAATTTCCAGCCTGCTTTAGTGCTTGGCAGTTTTGGGGGAGAAATGTTCAAAAATGCTGCCTTGGGAAGTGCATCCCATCTGGGGCTCAGCCCACACCATGTCTGGGGTTGGAAACTTTTCCTCACCCCTCCAAGGTGGGGGCTCTTCCCTGCCCTGCAGTGCAGCTCAGTGCTGTGTTCAGAGGGGACAAGGCAAACTCCACTGCAGCCACTGTGCCTGGTGCCAGCACTGCAGACGTGCCAGCACTAGTAAAAAGAAAGTAAGAGCTCCCAGCTCTGCCCAGAGCTCGGCTCTGCAGCAAGTGTGCAGCTCCAAGGGAAGGGTGCTTTCAGCACCAGCTCTGCAGCAAGTGTGCAGCTCCAAAGGAAGGGTGCTTTCAGCACCAGCTCTGCAGCAAGTGTGCAGCTCCAAGGGAAGGGTGCCTTCCACACCAGCTGGCTGCATGGATCTTCAATTCCACCTTGTTCTCCCCCTTTGCCACCCCTGGTCTGGAGGAGCTCAGCACCCATCTCCACATCCTCACCCCGTGGGGTTTCAGGGCTGGGTTCCTCACCAGCAGAGATCAGAGCTGCTCTGGGGTGATTATTTCAGCAAATTCCATGTCAGTGCCGTTGTCTGTGTGGCACAGCAGAGGGGCTGGGCTCTGTGTGCTCTCCTGGAGGAGCAGCCCAGGATGCAGGTGAGGGTTCCTCTGGTGCAGGCACTGCCAGGGTGTCTCTGTGTCTGCCAGGCTGATGCTGGGAGGGCACAGGCTCATGCTGTGACCCTGGGGTGGGTGCTGGGGCTGCCAGGCTGTGAAAGCCCAGGGAAGCTGGGACAGGGATTTTCCTGCCTGGCACTGAGCACGGCCCAGTAGAGAGAGTTAAAGTAAACAGGTCGGGGCTGCTGGCTGAACCTGGGGCAGTGTTGGGAAACTGGGGTGGTTTTACACCAGCACAATCAGAATCAGGAGTCAGCCCATAATTGTTTTGTCTTGGGTTGTCAAAAAAAAAAAAAAAAGTAAAAAGAAAGTAAAAAAAGCAGTGCTTATAGTGTAACATATACCAGTGTAAGTGAGATTAAGTCTTTAATTATTTAGCACTCTGCTACTACTTGAACCTGATTCAAACTCAGTCATTTCCTTTACCAATACTCTAATTATGTTCTCCTTTTGATCTGCAGGACTGTGTGCAATTAAACCAGTACAAGCTGCAGAGTGAAATAGGCAAGGTGAGTACTGGGGCTGATCTTGGTCACACCAGCCTGTGTCACACATCTGACAGGGCTGGAAAGGCTGTGCCAGCCCAAGGGACATCAGTGGCCAAGGCTCCTTGCAAGTTGTGTTTGATTTGGGGGCTTTTTTGATTATTTTTGAGAGGATTTTTCCATATTAGTTTGAGCAAGTTTTGTTCAAGGTCACAGTGGAGTTACTTCCTTTGAAATCCAGATTTATTTTTCCTCCCTCAGAAGGTGGTTAAGCTGGCTCCCTTTCAGGGGTGTTTGCTTGCCAAATGTAACACTAAGAACCTTTGATGCATTAATACAGCACAACAAGGGAAAAAAACTCAAAAAAGATGATCAGGGCAGGTGTTTGGTCCCCATCAGGACTAGTTAAAGTTTTTACGTCACATGAAATGTTTGTTTAATTCTAGTGCATGTTTAAAAGCTGCAGAATGATTCAAAAGAGATTCCTATAAAGTTATTTAGAGGTCTGGGCTGGTGAGCAGCTCAGACACCTGCCCCTCTGGCCATGTGCCACCACTGCAGATGGCTCCACAGGCAGTGGGGCTGTCTGGGAGCTGTGTCTGCCTCTGCAGCTGGAGCACTGCAGCCACAGGAGGCTGCAGACACCTTCACCACAAGTTTAATTAGCCCAAATGCCTCCAAAATGAGAGGCCCCGGGCTGTGGGATGGCACCCCCACCATCTGTGCCATGGGCTGTGCATTTGGCTGCTGGCAGGGGGGAGGAAGGCTGCAGGTACCACTGCACAGCAGGTGCCCTCCCAAACTCACACACAGCTTCAGACCCACTTAGGACTTCTGTATGATTTAAGGAGAGTGTGAAACCTTCTCTCAGGTGGATTTGTCCCTGCCTCCCTCCTTCCCTGTGGGTCACAGCAAGCAGGTGGGCACTGTGAGGTTGGTAGAGGGTCTGCTGTGCTTTTGGATCAGCCAGATGGCTTGTGAGTCTCCTCTGAGACCAGAACCTTATTTCAATCTCACTGAAGTCAAGAGAAATATTTTGAAGGCTCTGGTGTTCATCCCACTCATTTATTCAATAGGCATATGTCAGGGATAATACCTGATCATGTCTTTCTTGCATAAAATGAGTGTTTATTGGGACTTTGATAAAACAGCAGTTTGGATGGAGCTTGGCTTCAGGCTGTCCCTGGAGCTGTGGGTCCAGCAGCAGTCCAGGTCTGCCCCTGCCTGGGCAGCATTTGGTTGGTGGAACAGGAAAGCTGTTCATGCACAATTTCCAAATTTGCACCCAGAAAGTTTTTCTCTCTGCTGCCCACCCCTGTGTGAGTTCAGACAGACGTGGTGGCTGTGGCTCAGGGCAGGGGTGGTGGGCCAGCACTCAACTCCTCCAAACACGGATAATCCTCCAGTGGCTCCAGCAGAGCTGCCAAAACATTCAGCCCTGCTGTAGGGTCACACCACCTGCGGACTGCTCAGGGGTCAGCATGGCCTGGGGCCTTGGGAGTTGTTTTTTTCCCATCTGTGATCCACCAGCCTCGAGCAGCAAGAGGATGAGGTGGAGCTGCTGGACTGACCGTGCAATTCCCGTTTGTTTTCAGGGCTCCTACGGCGTGGTGAAGCTGGCCTACAACGAGAACGATGACAAGTACTACGTGAGTGTGCCTCTGCTCTGCTCCTCCCTGCTGCTGCTGCCCCCCTGGCAGCTGGCTGCTCTCTACCTGGCTGCTTTCAGCAGGTGCCCCTGTGATTTGGGTGGCTGGCAGGAGCTGAGCTCCCGCTGGGCACGGAGCGCGGGAGGGAGCGGCTGGGTGCCTTATGTAACAGGCAGGCTGCAGAACATGCTGCTGAGCTGCCTTGGCATTTTCTAGCTGTGAAGCAGGTCACCTGAAATTAGAGGCGTGTGGGTGGTGGTATTCAGCACCTGCTGTGCATTGGAAGCCTGGCCTGGAAGGAGCAGGAGTGTTTTGTAAGGAAATGGGGGCGTTTCTCAGAAAAAGGCTGAGCAGTGTTGGTGTGGCTGGGCAGTGCCAGGCTCCCTGCATCTCACCCCCCTGGGGGACACTGAACCAGGCCCACTGCCAGGGCACGAGGTGTAGGGTGCAAGACTGAAGGCAAATCCTGGGGTTTAACAAAGCCTGAGTTGGAGAGTTTCATATTCCAAAAGGCTGCTTATGCTGGAGGCTCCTGCTCTGGGCTTCCCCTTTCAGATGGAGCTGAATCCCAACCATCCCAGCTGGAATTCCTGTGAAATCTGCCTGCAGATGTACTCATGTTCCTGGGCCTGTGCCTTGTGCCCACAGCTTTTTGCCCTGTGGCTTGTTTTGTTCAGGCTGAGAGTGGGAGCTGGAGGGAAGGAAAACTTCCTTGCTATGTGTGGCTGTGCCTGGATGCTTCTGGAAAGACCTTCCAGCAGTTTCTGATGGATCCCAGGGCAGGAATCTGCTGAGCTGTGTGCTTGCAGTGCTGTTGAACCTCAACCCAACACAGCCCTGCTGCTCCACAGTGCATTTGGTGAGAGTGTGCCGCTGCTGCTCCTGCATGTGGATGAGATTGGGTCCCTCAGAGCAGCCAGGCAGGCTGGTGTGCTGCCCTGGGACAAAGGGGAATAAGGATGTGCTGTGGAACATAAAGCATGCTCATTCCCCACTGCTCCCCAGATAGTTTTTCCTCCCTGACTCTTTATTACAAGTGACACACCAGGCTGAAGTGGTCAGGTGGGAATTGTGTGCCTGTGGGTATTCCTTAGCCTTTCTGGCCTTGCAGCAGGCATGGAACTGCAGCAGGAATGTCTTGAAATGAAGGATGGAAGAGATGAGACAAAAATCTGGACAAGGTGCCCTGGAGCTGGCCAAGGAAAGGAGCCACAATTCTTTCCATCTCCCATCCTTTCCAAGCTGATTCACAGCTGCACCAGAGCTTTTTCCAGAGGCTCCTTTTCTCTGCTGCCCTCCAAATCCTCCCTGCCATGCCCTGCAGCAGGATGGTTTGTTCTGCAGAGGGTGGTGGTGCCAGCTCTGGCTTCCCTGATCCATCTGTCCCACCAGCACAGGCATGCCAGCACCAGCAGCACCGAGTGGGAATGCATCACATACATAAATCATGGTTATTTCCAGCTGCAAATACTTTTCCTTTGAAAATTGTAATCCTTACATTTTGGCACTGCCTTTTTGTTCAGGAAATGCCATTGAGGTGCTCAGTGGTGAGCATGGCATGTTACAGCTCAGCAGGGGAGAGCTGGGTTTAGGACAGCACTGCCTGCTGCATTCCTGTCCCTGCTTTGGATGCAGATTAACCCCATGGATGTAGATTTAGCTGGTCAAATCAAAACCAAAAGTGAAAGCCTGTGTGCCGGTTAGCCTGGTGTGTGTTAGTTAATCCCCTCTTAATCTTGGTTTCTAATCTAAGCAAACACTTTAAAGGTGCTGCAGCCCGGGAGGGGCACCGTGCCTGGGGCTGTGTGAGCCTCACCTGAGGGCAGGCAGGGCACAAAGACCCCTCAGTGCCAGCCCTGCAGGGATGTGCTCTTTGCTTCACCTCATCCTCCTTCTGGGGCTGAGCTGCATCCTGGGCTCGGAAGGTGATGCTGGGGGGAGAGGGATGGGCCTCTCCGAACTCTGTGTCCCCTCTTGGCAGGGCAGGGGGAGAGGTGTGTGGAGGGATGGGCCTCTCCGAACTCTGTGTCCCCTCTTGGCAGGGCAGGGGGAGCTGTCCCCTTGCCCAGTGCAGCCACATGCCTGGCACCTCATCCTCCCAGCCCCCTGTGCCTGTGTTTTCTGGAGGGCAAGCCGTGGTGGAGACACCTCTGCTTTTCCAGGACATTAAGCCAGCTCAGGAGCTGGCAGACTTTTCAAAGCTTCAGAGAAGCAGCTGATTGCATAACTAGCTAATGGTTGCTGAGCTCTCCACCTGCCTGGTGTGCCTGACCCTGGAGCTCTCCCAGAGCTGAGGCAGCTTCCATCCTGCCCTGCCTGTCCTTCCCATCCCTGTCCCTCAGCAGTGCACCCCGGGGGCACCTAAAGACTCCTACCAGCAGTTAAGAGAAGCTATTAAGATTGTAATAGTTGGGAATGGCCTTTTCTGTGTGTTTGTTTTCCCCCAGATTTAGCTCTGGAGAGTGTTTTTGGCTCAGTGGTGAAAAGCAGAAAGAAGCAATGGGAGGAAATCAGCCCTTGGTTGGCCTGCAGTGAGTAAGGCCAGGTTGGATGGGCTTCTGGTCTAGTGGAAGGTCTCCTTGCCCATGGCAGGGAGATGGAACTGGAGATCTGTAAGGTCCCTTCCAACCCAAATCATTCTATGATATTCTGCTTCTGTAACTGAATTTCATTCGCAGTGGTTCAGCATGAGGCCAGGGTGTTGCTGCCTTCTTTATTGTCTTTAAGCTAGTGTGCTGCAATAACAAGGACCAAAATTGTTAAAAAATAAGAAAAAAAATTATTTAGGAGTATAATTCAGAGTGTGGCTCCTGATGCTTGCTGAGGTGTGGGATCCTTTGCTAGCTCCCTTCAAAAAGGCAGAGTTTATAGGGAGCAAGGACTGAATAGAGCTCCTGTCAAAGCCAAAGGAAAGATTTCTGCTGCTTTAATGAGTTTTGGATCTGGCCTAGAATTAGGAAAAAACTCTCAAGAAAAAAATTCAACCACCACATTTGGGAAAAAATGTAGATGGGTTGTGTTTATTTTGTGGGTTTTTTACCTTCCATTAAAGATGAGGGAGTGCTTCTAAGAGCTTTGCCCTTGGTTGCTGTGAGCACCACAGTGCCTGGGAGGGCTGTGAAGTGTCCTGGCTCACATGGCTGGATGCAGGGAATGTGTTAGGCCATGGAAACTGGAATTTCTGCACCAGGTATGTGAGCCAGTGCTCCCTCCAGGGAGGAGACCCCACTGGAAAGCAGAGCTGGCTGCCAGAGCAGAGGACCCTGCTGCTCCTGGGGCACATTTAGCTGTCACAGCTGTGGGGCTCTGCCAAGGAACCCTTTACACTGGAAAGGTTTCAGTGTCTCAGTTTGAAGGAGATGCTTTGATGATGACTAAGGGAAAAATCAAAGGCCAAGTTCTGTGAAAAAGCAGCAAATAAAAAGCAAAGGCAAATGTGTCCAAGCAGAGATCTAGATTGGAATCATTGTGCTGATGGAATTTGATTCTTTGATGCCTCAGGTCATGTCTTCCTCCTATTTTCAATCTCTAAATCAGCTTGCAAAGAAAAGTGGCTATGATGGGCATTTGTTATGCTACTGCTGGAATAAGGCAACAGCATTTAGATTGTCAGTGGATTTTTCTTTTTTTCATCCTTCTTTTTTAATCTTGTTTCCTAAGAAACAAGATTTGTGTGATTGTGCTCTCTGCCTCTGTTTGTACCTAACAATCTTTGCACGGAGGGCTGTTTCCTACCAAGTCTCAGTGATGGGGAGAAATTCCTTCCAAGTTCATGAAAGGAGTGGCTGAACAAAGGACTGCTGCTGAGAAGGTGGCCAGCAGCAAGCCTTGAACTTTCCAGCCCCGGAGAACCCGCTTTGGATGCCATCCAGGAGGAAAGGGAAGGCACAGCTCCTGCATTTCCCATCCCCTGGCTCACATAACAGCTGCTGAACCACTGCCAGCTGCACTCCAGAGCAGTGGGGAGCAGGGAAGGGATCTCTGGCTTCATCTAACACCTGGTGCTGTTCAGCTGAGGGCTGTGAGGGGCTGGGTCACCCGGGGTGACAGCAGGATCCTCGGGAGGCAGCTGGGGACAGGCGAGCTCCAGGACAGCATCCCTGCTGTGGTGGCACAGTGTGGATGGGGCACAGCCTGATGATGGAATTCTGCTGGGAGGACAAAAGGTGACAAACACAGGAGCAGGATTTTAAGGCCATGGCAGCTGAGCCTGTCTGGTTTAGGATTTTCTTTCAGTTCATAACACTCCTCTCTGCCAGCAGAGCTTCCCTCTCAGCTGCTTTGTCTGAGGGATGTTGTTGTTAGGCAGGACAGGTGAAGAAGGACTGGAAACACTCTCTGGTCTGTTCAGCATTCCCACAGAGTGCCCTCCTGCACTAGAAGAGGATTTAGGTGGTTGGTAGGGACCTTTGAGCAGCATCCCACTCCCCTGGGAGCTGTAGGATGGGATTGTGCACAGGCTTCTGCCCTTGCAGCACAAGTCTCTCCCTTAGCAAATAAAATGACATTCTGAGCACTGTGAGAGCATCACCAAGGACAGGTGATAAGTTCACTTGGCTCAGTCATTTTGTCACCCTTCCCTCCCAAAACCAATGGCCTCTTTGCCCTTGTCATTACCCACAGCTTGTGGTCCTGCTGCTGTGAAAGCTGCTGTGTCACAGGCATTCCTCCTCTCCATAAGCCTGGGATCTCCTTTCCCTTAGGCAGCTTCCCTGTGGCTTCCAGCTGTAGGGTTGATAGGAAGAGAGCAGTAAACTGAGATAATAAACATACATCAGAGAAAAGCACACAGTTCCTGCTGTTTGTCAAAGGGAGATGTCAAGACCCGTGTCCACGCGGGAGCAGTCGGGAGGAGGATGTATGGAGGAAATCTCCAGGCTCCCTCTTTTCCTGAGAATACTGAAGCGACACTTGCCTGTGCAAAGGGAAAATCCCTCGGCTTGGCTCTGAGCTGGTTCTTTATCAGAAAGGCATTATCTGGGTAATTAGCTCTGCCTGTGAGTACAAATGTCTTGGGCTCTGTCGTGCTCGGAGCCCGGAAGGAGAGGTTTGCTGAAGCATCCCTGAGATGCTCCCAGTACAGCAGCCACTTCAGGAGGAAGCCTGGTCCTGCCAGCTCACTGTAATTAAAGTGAAGCTTCACAGCCACGTGCCCTACTCTCTGCTCTTGTGATAATTAAGTGGCTCTGGCTTGTTGCATGATGAACTTTGCTGTTTGTCCCTGTTTGAGTTTGTCAGTGCAGTGGGACAGGTCCTCTCCTCTGACCCAGCCCTGCCTGTGCAGTAGCAGATACTGCTGCTCCAAAACTGGTATAAGCATCTCCTGGTAGTTCTTTCCAGCAGTAGTGGTGCTCTGCAGTCAACTCTCCTATGATGCAGTGACCCCCTACTGCCCCTCAAGTGTCCTTCAAGGAGTTTGGGTGACAGCAGTAGCTTCTGTTCCTTCCATTTCTGTCCCCAAAAGCAAGCCTTGTCTTAGCTATTGCTCCTCTCTGTGCCTTCCTGCTCCCTCCAGCTTCCCCTAGGAATGATTATCCTGATGTGGGCATGGCTGGTGGTGATGGTTCAGTTCCTTAGGCTGAGGCCCCCAAGCTTCCAAACTCAGGAGCTTTCAGCAGCAAATGCATCTTCTATTTTGTCTATTTTTTCTGAAGCTCCTTGCCAGAAGGCAGCAAGGACTCAAGATGGGATTGGAGCAAGAGGAGAGTTCTCCTCCTGGGTTGGCAGTGCTTGAAAGAGAAATGGATGTACCAATTCCTTTGATTTTTCTCATAAATTTTCATTATGGAGAGATAAAATGGGAAGCGTAGGAAGTCCTCCAGGCTTGGTCCTGGCCGTATTTGGAGGTGGTTGTGCACATCTTGGATCCTCTTCCAACAGACCATGAGTCATTTGGCTGCCTGTATTGGACACAGAGCTGTGCTAAGTCAAAGATAAGCACTTCTGAGTCTGTCTCTCAACACCATCATTTCTAACAGTTGGTTTGAGCTGTCAGGCAGCATTGAAACACTGCACAGTGTCTCTTCTCAATTACACGGGTGCAAATCCAGAGGATTTCACTGGATCAGTACCAAAAATAACAATCCTTTCAGCAAGCCATGAACCTGGGAGCACTGATGGGAGGTGGGGATGTTTGGACATGTGGTGCCATCACTGCCAGCAACAACAGCTTGGGAAGGAGCTCACTGGAATGGGTTTGGTGACCTGTTCTGGTATGTGTGTTAAAAACAGGTAGTGGGCAGAGACCCTGCCTCTGTAGTACTGATGCAAAATTCCTGGGAGTTTGACTGTGTCCTGCAGGATTCCTTGGTTAGTTAGATGGTGTAGGGGTCACTCCAGTGTGAATTACATACTGGATGCTATATTAATAGGAGTAACCCCTTAGGCTAGGGGAGGGAGGGAGTGACCATCCCAGCTCCTGGAAGCACAGACTGTTTTCCCAAGGAAATTGTACCATGAGCTGGTTTCTCATTAAATATTCATCTGCTGGGCCACTTGGGGCATTTGAGTGGCCCTCCAAAAGATTATTAATGCACAGAGCAGATGGAGGCTCAAAGACTGGTTATTAAATTCAGATTGCCTTTTGCCACTATGCTAATGCCAGCTGGATGTCAGGAGGAATTGCCCTGACCCCTTCCCAGGCCTCAGCTGCCTGGGTTCAGTTTCCTTCTCATACCCCCTGACAAGACCAAACATAAGATGAAGCAGCCTTGAAGTGGTTCTGAGCTGGAGCTTGGTTTTAACATCATCCAAAACAGTGGGACAGCCAGAGGAAGCCACCTCCTCCCCCAAGCTTCTGCCCCAAATGCAGAAATTGGGCTCCTATTTCTTTGTCCATTTGAAAATAAATCAAAATTTTTCATGAGGAAAAATGAATGGAAGGAATGGTTAGCAGTGCTTTCAGGAAAGCCTGGGCCAGTGTCTGTCTAGTGTGGCCAGCACTGAGCAGGACCCTTCTCTAGGCTGAGGGGCAGCCCTGAGCCAGTCCCTGATGCCCAGCATACTCCAGGCCACAGCAATCAGCTCTTTGGCTCTTGTTCAGGTTTAACACTGCTTTTTTTCCTTCCTCCAGGCTATGAAAGTCCTCTCCAAAAAGAAGCTCTTGAAGCAGTATGGATTTCCACGTGGGTATCTCGCATTTAGAGGTCTGCCTGTTGTCCTCAGCCAAATAAATCTCTCTGTAGAAACATTGTCTGCAAGGACATTGTCTGTGACAGCTGCCCAGTCAAAATGGAGCTGGTTAAATTGGGGTGGTGACGGGGCAGATACAGCCACAGGGAAATCAAACACACTCAGTAATGAGATGCCTGGCTCTGATTTTTGTGAGTCTCTTTGAAGTGATGACTCTTCCATGTTCACCACTTGTGAAGCCTAATTAAGCACTGGAAGTTAGGCAGGGTGTTCCCCTCCTTTGCTTACCCTGGGTGCAGGTGGTCTCAGTGGGACTTGGAGAGCTCAGCTCCAGGTGGGAGACTGCAAAGCTTTGGGATGAGAACAAGGTGATGAGATCTTCCAGAAGAGCTGGAGGGGTGTGCACAGGGGCCATGCTGCTCATCCTGTGTGCAGGTGCTGCTGCCAAATGAGGAATTCCTCACTGTACTGTCCCACTTGCAGGTCGGCCTCCTCCCAGAGGGTCAAAAGCATCCTCTGGAGAGCAGCCCAAGCCCATGGCACCCCTGGACAGAGTCTATCAGGAAATAGCCATCCTAAAGAAGCTGGACCACATCAATATCGTTAAGCTGATAGAGGTGAGCTGCTTCTCCACCCTAAGTTATGCTGAAACAAATCTGGTTTGTATTGCAACAAGAGGATTTTTTTCTTCAACTGTTCCTACTTCAGCCAGAATTGGTTTAATATAGATGTTCTGAAATTGAGGCTGGTGATTCCAAGCAAAGTCTTACTGACTGTGTAGGACAAACTGCACTCTCACCCTGAGCTCTGGGCTGGTGCCCAGGAGAAGGCAGCTCACTGTGCTGGTAGAAATAGCAGTGAGCTTTGATCACTGAAACTTGTGTGCAGACAAGCCTGGGAAGGTGCACAAGTGCAAGGCTCCAGTGCCATTTTCATTATTGACTGAGGTCAGTTTAGGACAAGCAGTGCCTTTATTGGTAGGCTGTTTCTCCAAATACAGGCAGAAGCCCAGATTGTTCTGCAGACAGGAAAATCTGTCCTCCAAAACCCCTCCAAATTCTCTGCAGGACTCTCTAAATATTAACCTAAATTGTTCTAAGTGTTCTGCAGCTCAGCACAGTGTACTGTGAGTGTTACTTGCTTTAAAATCTTTTTTCCTGCTGTTTTTAATTTTTTTTTCCTCTTTCCCCTTATTTCTCTCTGATCTCTCAGGTCCTTGATGATCCTGCAGAGGACAACTTGTACATGGGTATGTGAGTCTCATAAGCTAACAGAACCATCTGGGCTTGGGCCTGGTGATGCAAGTGACACGTGCCAGGACTCGGGGTCAATACGGGAGGAAACTTGTGCCAACTTCTGCAGACTTTTTTTTGTTCTGCCAAGTTAAAACGCCTGTAAATGCAGCTGGGATGGAAAGGCCCCGTGCAGTAGGGTAAGGCAACCTTGTGTCAGTAGAGCTGTGCACATCTCTCTGCCGTGGGGACACTGAAAAGACCCGGCAGCTGCTCTGTCCCAGCTGATTCCAGCCCCAGAGCCCGGAGGGAAGAGAAGGGTGCAGGATGGTTTCCTTGCCCTCCTGCTGTGAAACTCCTGCAGGCTGTGGATAGAGGTAGTGACTCCAGAGTCACTCTAGGCTTGTCTGGGAGTGTTCCCTGTGCCCCCTGCAGAGGCTCTGACCACCCTGGTGAGCCTCAGGACCTCCTAAGGGAGCAGCACTCCCTCCTTTGGTGGGGAAGCCATGCCTGACTGGGTGTTTATGCAGAGGGTGAGGTAATTCCACCCATTTTGTCTTCCTCTTCTCCAAACTCTGAAAGTGCCAGCCATCCCTAACCCCCATTTGGGTACAACATTGAGGGGCAGGCCTGGGAGGCCCAAGGTGCCCTCTGAGATAGGCTGGAGGAGGGGATGACTGACCCTCTTACATCTCTGCTTCCCCAAACTGTTTCCTGATGAAGCAGGTTCAAAGACTGCTCCTCATGAAATAATTATGGAACACTTCTGAAGCTGCCTGGAGGAGGACTCTGCCCAGCAAATGAAGCAATTTGCCTTTGAAAGGCCACTTTTCCCTTTGGGCTGAAGCCCCGGTGGCATCTGGCAGCATCTCAAAGTGACAGCACTCGTGGTGGAGAGGGTGATTGAGGCTGTTGTTTGAAGGACTGAACTCCTGGGAATGGAGGAAAGGGGAGAGATGAGGTAGAAAGCTGCAGAGGGGAAAAATATTCCCAAACCTCAACCAAGCTCTATCTGTGGAGTGAGAGAGCCATCCCAGAAACAGCAGCAACAGCAGCAGGACAGCTCTCCTGTCCTATGGGAGGTTGTGCTGGTCCCTGAGTGATGAGCAGTGGCCGTGTCCCTGTTGTCCATGTTCCATCACCCCTCTCCTCTGCCCAGGATCCCCTCAAGTTCAGGCACATCAAGCTCCTGCCTCTGCAGTTCCCTTGGCAGGAGGAGTAGCACTGCTCAGGGCTGAACCTCCTGCAAGTGGGTTTGCTCCCTCCTGCTGCTGCCCCAGCTGATGATACCTGCACCTTTCTCCTTCCAAAAATGCCCCCCACTGCAGAGCAGATCTAGAGGAAGAGGTGTTTGCTCCTTGCCTGTGGCTGCTGGGATCAGGCACTGCTGTGAGCCCTTGGCTGTGTCACTGGGATGGGATGTCAGCAGGCACTGAGCCACCTGCAAAGGTTCAGAGGTTGCATTATTAAATGCTTCCACAAGCTGCAGCTTCTGGAGGGCAAGATGAGCCAATTCAGGCTGTCCTGTTGTGTTTGTACTCAGTTCTTTGGGGAGGGGATCTGCTCAGATTTTTTGGGAGGTGCAAGAAATCCCCATGTAATTCATGGGGAAAGAGCTCTCCTACTCTAGGTAAAAGCAGATCCCTCTCCTGTTTGCAGAGCAGGATCAGCAAAACACTTTTCCCCAACCTCCTAATCAGACACACAAACTCATGTGCTCTGCAAACCTCAACTCACAGCAGCAAATCCTCCTCAGTGGCTCCGGCCAGGGAGTGTTTGGCTCTGACAAAGCTGTAGCTGTGCTGCTGATTGACACAGCAGAAATGGAGCAGCATGTTCTTACAGCATCTCCTTTGCTATCAGCAATTTAGTGGAAATACCACACCAAACACCCTCCCTTGGAGATACAACAGGCCTCAAATCAAACAGGGCTGACACCCAGAGCAGCAGCACCGTGGGTGATAAATTAGCACCCACTGTGTCCCTGTACAGGGCTGCCAGGAGGGGGGATATTTGTCTGTGCTGAAGAGATGAATATTTTCATTTTGCATCCCCTGGTGTCCTTGTCTTGGGTGAGGGAAGAGAAATGAGTGGAGATAAATTGATTTGCAGGTATGGGAATGGATGTGTTTTTGTAGGTGATGAATAACAAATAAGCCCAGGCTGCTCTTCTCATTCATTCATGGTTTATTTCCTTTTCTTGCAGTGTTTGACCTCATGAGGAAAGGGTAAGTAGCCCTCCTGGAACCCCTTCTGTTGAAAATTTTGGTGTTCATCATCAGGTTCCCATGTGAAGAGGAGGTTTGATATGTCCAGTGGGGCACACCCTGTCTGCAGGGCAGGAAGACCCCAGCTTTGCACTGCTACAGCCTGGAATGATGTGGTGAATAGAAATGGGCTGGGAGGACATGTCCTGGTGCCAGACTCTGATCTGGAAAACAAATTCTATGACAATTCCTCATCAGGTGCCTGGAAGAGAAGGTTTGCATAGGAACATTCTGCTGGGTTCCAGCCACACTGTGGCTCCTCTGACACAAGGGCTGTGTGGCACCAAGATTTACTTCCACCTGCTGCCTTACTTTGCTCTCAGCACTAACCTCTGATGGGAGGCTGTGCTGTTGGCAGATCTATTTTGCATAGTGAAAGAAGGGATAAGGTGGTAAGAGGTTCTTCTCTGCTCTTTGCTACGCCCGCACTGACTCTGCAGCTCTGCAGTGAGGTCATGATTTCTGTGCCCAGGATGGAGGAGATTCCCAGAGGGGTTATTTTCTCTCTGGTCCATGAACAAGCTGCCAGCTCCAGTGGGTTGCTGGCAAGAGGCTTCCCAGTCTCCCTGGTGATCAGGCTGGTGCCTGACCTGTGGGAGAGGGAGCTCCTGTAAACAGCTGAGGCTGGGGAACCTGTGGTTCATCCAAGTGCAGCTTGGCTGCCTCTGGCAGGAGGCAATTAGACTCCATTAGTGGCTCTGCCAGCCCTGCTCTCACATTTCTCCCTGGTTTCAGCAACAGAAAAATGTGCATAAAAGAGGGAGGGAAGGTCATCAATCAAATGGGCAGCCAGGGAGAGAGGGAAATGCTGCAGGAAGGATTTGCTGCTGGGTGCTGAGGGGAACAGCCACAGAGCCTGGTTTTGGCAATGGGCAGTTCTCTGGCAGCGTTTGGCTTGCCAGGATGGTGTCCCAGGAGCACTGAGTCAAATCCAGCTCCAGTCAGTGGATGTATGTGCACATGCAAAGCCAAGGTGCTGAGCACAGGCAGGTCCTTAGCTCCAGCCATTCATCCACAGGGGAACAGCAGATTCTGACTGGCTCTTAGAGCCTCTTTGCCCTCAGCTTTCAGCAGGCACAGGCAGAAGAGGGGCTTGTAGAGGAGACTGTGCTGCCCTCAGCAGTGGCAGCATTCAAAGGAAAGGAGAGGAGAAGCTGACCAGGTAACCTTGGCTGTTCAGGGCTGAATGGCTGAGCTCTGGTAGTGGCTGAACCCTGAGCAGCTAAACAGGCTTTTAAAGCAGTTTAGCACAATGCACAGAAAATATTCCCATTTAACCTTTGAGCCACTGGTTCCTGTGTAGATTCTGCCTCAATGGAGACCAGCTGCACAGTGATGTTGTGTCAGGACTGAGCCCCAGCAGGCAGGACATGCAGTGCACAGCAACAGGCACTGTCCCCACTGCTGACTGGGATCTCATGGCAATGCTGGTGCTCACAGCCATGGGCAGCTTCAGCAGGAAGCCAAAGGCCAGGTCCAGCTTTGTACTTCTCCCACTGGGATGTCAGTGAGTAGTGTTTGTCTTATTTTGTGCAGACACCAGCAGTTAATCCTGATGATGATGAGGGCTCTGTGGCTCATGCTGGCTCAGGGCTGTGCAAAGCCACCCATCACTGGCCAAGCTCAGTAACCAAAGCATCACCACCTCCAGAAGGAGCAGGCACACCTCCATCCTGTGTCACAGCACCTTTTGGGAGCCTGGCCCTCAGTGCTGGGACGTGGTGATGGATTACAAACTCCTCCAGCAAGGGGTGTTAGTGGCCTTGTGCAGAGCACTGAGTGGCTGTCCCTGTCCCCAACAGGCCTGTCATGGAGGTGCCCAGTGAGCAGCCCTTCAGCGAGGAGCAGGCTCGGCTCTACTTCCGAGACATCGTCCTGGGCATCGAGTACTGTGAGTACCCCGGCCCTGGCAGTGCCTGCAGGGGCTCTGCCTCAGCCCCTGGGGGGAAATGGATTTATAGAAAATTCCCAAAGCCCGACAGAAGGCCCCCACAGTGTGCATCTGTATGCAAACCTTGAGATAAGAAATGCTGACTTAGAGATGCCATGGAATGGGACAGACAGTGCTGAGACAGAAATGGAGCTAGAAACAAGTTTCAAAGGGTGGCCTTGCAAAAAAGACCGGATACTTTAGAGAAATAGAACTATGAAAGATGCATTGTAGTAGGACCCATAGGGCTAATTTTACATCTACAGCATGGTGTGGCTAAAGCTGATAGACCAAGAAGCACTTACAGTGTATTTTAATTAAGAAATAGTTAGCTTCTGATTGTAATAGCGTTAATTATAACATCTGTATTGTCTCACACTTCACATGAGACTGAAAATGGAATAAAAGTTTCTAAAATGCTTCTCAGTTGCCCCATCTCTGGGCCAGAAAAGGGTATTGTCCAACACCCCTGCTCAGCTGGGGAGGGGAGTCCTGGCCCTGGGGGGCTGTTGGATGAGAAGACCAGGTACTTTAGAGAAATAGAACTATGAAAGATGCATTGTAGTAGGACCCATAGGGGTAATTTTACATCTACAGCATGGTGTGGCTAAAGCTGATAGACCAAGAAGCACTTACAGTGTTTTTTAATTAAGAAATAGCTTCTGATTGTAATAGCGTTAATTATAACATCTGTATTGTCTCACCCTTCACATGAGACTGAAAATGGAATAAAAGTTTCTAAAATGCTTCTCAGTTGCCCCATCTCTGGGCCAGAAAAGGGTATTGTCCAACACCCCTGCTCAGCTGGGGAGGGGAGTCCTGGCCCTGGGGGGCTGTTGGATGAGCCAGAGTGGTCCCCTCGCATTGCCTGTGATGGGGTTGCTGTTGGAGCTGGCCCCACTCAGCTTGGCTTTACCCAGGAAGTGTCACAGAACAGAACCCTTAGAAAGGACATAGAGCAAATAGTGCCTCTCTTTTTTCATCCATTTATTTCTTTTTGGAGACTGTCTTTGAAGGCAGAGCCAGAAAATGGGCGTTTGCAGTGTCATGGGTTCAGCCAGTCAGGTTCAGCTGGTACAAATCCCTGTCTCTGGCTTAGCAGGACAAGCACTGGCCATGGCAGAGCTGGTGAGCAGCACGGGGAGGATGTCTGTCCTTGCCCACCCCTGTGCAGAGCCCATCTCAGTGACTCCTGTCTGTCTGTCCTTGTCCATCCCTGTGCAGAGCCCATCTCAGTGACTCCCTGTCACTCAGGGCTGTGGGGTGGTGAGAACCCAGCACTGTGTGCCCTCCCCGTGAGGAGGTGGATCCAGTGTGTTCCCAGCTCTGCCCAGACTCCAGAGCAGGGTTCCTCTCTGTGGCCTGTTTGATTATTGTCACCTGTCTTGGTGACATCTTGTCCCCATGTGGCTGAGGCCAGATTCCCTGCTCAGTGCCTGTGTTGCAGAGTGCAGGGAGGCCACGAGAGCTCTGTGAATTACATCAGGGTTTTTTCTGGCCCCATTGTCACTGACATGTCCCTGCTGGCACAAACCTGGCAGGGCTGAGCAAAGAGGGGTCCCTGAATTAAAGACACAAGGAGGAATGGGCTGTGTGCTGGCATCCTGAAAGCAGTTAGTGCTTCTGTGCCTCAGCTGCTGTGAGCTAAGCTTGGCTCTGGGCCTGTTGGATCCTGGTGTCCTCCTTGCAAACAGCCTCTGTGAGTTCAGTACTCTCAGCTCTGGCTGCTTCCTCTGCACACTGATACCCTAAAGAATTGCCCCTGGTGAATCTGGGGAGGAGGAGGCAGTACAGCTTTTGCAGAGGACATTCCCACCTTGCAGGTCTGATTGTTTTCCAAAGGAGACAGCAAATATGTAGATAAGGTGATGCTGTTACTGCCTCGTGTTTCAATTGCCAAACAGCTTTTGATTAGATCCATTAACAGTAGCTCATAAAGCAGCTCCTAAATCTCTTATGTTGGATGGGCTCTTGTGGATTAATAACTGGACAATCAAGAAAGTTGGAATACAGCTTTCACAACTGAGAAAAGTCACCAGTACAGTTAAACAGGAACCCATAATGTGGCTGCGTTGTTCAGTGTATTCCTGAATGACCAGAAAAAGGGTAGAGAACAATAAGAGACTGGTGATGGCGCTGAGTTTTTCAGGATAGTTGTTAGAACTGACTGGGAAGACTGGCAGGAAAATGCCTTGATAGCAAGTGATGGCATGATAAAATGACAGTAAAAATTCATGTTTCTGACTGCAGGGTAATGCATGAGGTGGAGAAATAACACTGAAAATACATACAATGGGATGGGCTCTAAATTATCTCTTCTCACTCAGGCTTTGTTCTGGATACTTCTCTTAAAAATGCCAGCCCATTACTTAGTGACATTCAACAAGGCTAACAAGATTTGGGGAATTATTTGGAATGAAAGAAAGAAGAAAGTAGAAAATGTTATTGTGCAGTTATTTGGATCTCTAAGAGCTCTTAGGTACAGACAATGAGTATCCTGAATATTATGTGCAGCTTGGCTCAGCCTGTCTTAAAAACAGAACTCCCTAGAACTGCAAGGAGCATGATCAGGATGCTCCTGGAATATCTTAGGTACAGAGGTATGATCAAACCTCTTAAGACTGGAAAATTACCTTGGAAGGGATGCAGTGGCAGAGGCTTATAAAATTCTTAAGTGTCAGGGAATTGCTGGACGGGAAGTGAATATTTTCTGTCTCTGAAAACACAGTACCTAATGGATAGCAAACAAAATAATCAGGTAGCCAGTTTAAACCAGAAGGAATTACTCACTCTCAACCACTGAGAGAGAACAAGTCTCTGAGCATGATGGGCCTTGCTGAGGCAGAGGAACATGGTTTGAGGGTCTCAGTCCCTCTCCACATTGAAATGCAGCACCACCTCATTTTCTGTCTAAAACCAGCAGGGAATAAAATCGCTGTTTGAAAGTCTGACAGTCCAAAAGCTTCCAGGTGCTGCCAAAATTAGTCAGGTCACCCCAGAAAGTTGGTAGAAGTTAATATATGAATGAGAATCTCAAGAATGTCTTTGAGTAGAGATTGAAGGATGAAGATGCAGCTTTTTACATTCCCATTAGCATTCAGATTGCAGCAGAGCCTGTGTGCCTCAGCTGGGAGATTCAAGCTCTGCTGTGCTGGATGCTGCTGCAGGAACAGTTCCTGCTCAGAGGAAACTTTGAGTTTAGTACACAGGAAAAAAAAAAAACAACCACCAATGTGTGGGTAGTCTTAAGCACAGAGAGAGTGAAATTCAACAATAAATTATAGGATGCCCAAGCACTCCCAGCAACAGGAACAATAGGATGGTTTGTTTTGGACCATTGAGTTACCACTTATTTTATTAGCAAATGAAAGTTAAAAATGGTGTTCTCTCTGAACTGCTGGGTAAATGCATGGCAATTATTATATAATTAAGAGGAAAAGTGCACTGTTTGTGCATGCTGAAGGAAAAGTGTTGCCAGGCAATCCAGAGATTGCAAGGTAATTTTAATGTAAGCATCTATAATTGTTGTGTAATTTGGGAGGCTCAATAACGATGCAGCTGCTTGAAGCTCACAGTCATCACAGCAGCAAATGCATCATTGTTGGCTGGATTTTATCAGGCTAGAAGTTGCAGCCTGGATTCCTGTTGGAGCCTGAGAGGTGCTAATGGTGAGCAGGAAGGGGAGCCAAGCTGGTGGGAGATGTGGGCTGACCTTTTAACTCACTGGTGGTGGCATGTGGTCTGTGACCACTGTGTGTCTGTGGGGACTGGGCTCACTGGTTTTTCATGGAGTTTGCCTGGGGTGGAGCCTCCTGCAAGAGGGCTGGCTGTGGGGGGAGGTTTGGAGGGAGGCAGTGGTCCAGGTGCTGAGAGCTGGGTGGGAAGCCTGGCTTAGGCATGGTGGGAGGCTGGGACAGAGCCCTGGAGAGAGCCAGGAGCTCCCTGATCCAGGCAATGGCACAGAGCTGTCAGCTGCTTTAGGCTGGGCTGAGTGTGTTCAGTACCAGGAGTGCACTTTGACACAAGCACAGTCCCAGCCTTGTTCAAGGTCTGAGAGTCAGGGAGATCTGCCCATGGCTGAGTTTCCCTTCCTCTGGCCCCTGCAGGGCTGGGAATAAATTTGGAGTTTAGGCATGGTGGTATCACTGATTGATGTGCTCTGGTTTAGTTCTCCTGTCCCAGCCTGGCCCAGGGCGTGTGGAGTGTCAGGAGCTGCTCAGGCACCACAAACTGTCCCTGGGCTCCTGGGGAAATGGGCTCTTCACAGGAAAGTGGCTCTGCTCCCATTTTCAAGACTTCCCCACTACTGCTGGCCCTGGTCACCCCCCCAGGAGCTGGGGGGGCAGTCTGGTCTCTGTGTGAATACCAGCAGAGTGGTAATTCCAGTGTGCTCAAGTGGCAGGACCCACAGCACAGCCTCTGCCAGGAGCACAGTGCTCAGCTGAAATGGAGCACAGGGGGAAGCTGAGCTCTTCCAAAGGGCTGGGCAGTGCTGAGGGTGCAAAACTTTGGGCTGAAGCAACTTATCCAAGTGGCAGAGGCTTAATGGTGCAGCAAGAGAGCAGCAGAAACAGTGGAGGGAGGTGACAACACCACTTTGGATGGGAAAGTTTGCTGGATTATTTGTGTCATTAACTGAAGCATGTGCTTAAGCATCTCTGTCAATTAGGGATATGTGCAATTGCCACCCTTTCCACTTGTAACTCCCTTCTAGTAGTGCTTGGCTGGGGTTATTTAAACTTCAAACTCCCTTCTAATAAGGCAAACTTTGCTTTCATAGAGATACTCAGCAGAAATGTGTGTGCTGCATAGGAAATGGTCATCATGCTTCATCAGCAGGCATGAGGGATATGCCAGGTAGGTATCCCTGTTTGATTTTAGGGCTGGGACATGAGAATCTTCATTTAGTAAGAATCCTCATTAAGAAGTTTCATTCCTTTCTGAGTAAGGAGTAAGAATAA